ATATATATATATATATATATATATATATATATATATATATATATATATATATATATATATACATACGTATATTTCAAGAAAATATTATTCAAATACTTAAAAAAACGCAAAAAAAGGGGCAATCAATAGTTGAAAATTATTAGATTATATAAATTTTTTATCATATGATACATTGATATGAAAATATGTGATCGAAAAATATTTTTGTCTAAAATTTTCCTAAATAAATCATTTCCTTCTTAAAATTTTATAATTAAATTTGAAAAAAAAAGAAGAAACTTGCATGTTTATCAAAAGAGAAGAAATTAGAAAGAAAAATAATTGCTGCTAACAATTTGGTGGAATTAATTAAAAATAAACTTTCCTTATTACTTTAAACAGCAACAACAACATTTATGAATTCATAAGTGGCTCTAATTTTGAGCACTTCTTCCAACTGATAAAATTATCAAAAGGATAAATATTTATGATAAAACAAGAAAAAAAGTATATATATATATGTATTTATTTGGATGTTAAATTTGAAAATATCAAAATGAATTTTTATCTTGCGGGAAGAAAGAAGGTAGCATAAAATTTAGGAATAAAGAAAAGAAATGGGTAAGAAATGGAATTGATTTTGCGCAAAGCATAAATAAATTTTTACAAGCTTTTATTTTTTTTATTTTTTAAAATAAAAACGAGAAGAAAGAGAAGAAAAGAGAGGGATAAAATGAAAAAAAAGAAAAAGAAAATTTCCTTTTTACTTTTTTTTTTAACATTTTGAAGGAATTTTACGAAGAAAACATGGAAAAACATGAGCGATAGCAGCATCCTGAAATGAAATCAAGATAAGAAATTGAGTAAATCAAATTTTATAAAATCAATAACATGAATATATATTTAAATATCAATGAACAGCTAAAACGAACTGTTCAGATTTTGAAGTAATTAAATTAAATAATTTCTAATTGAGGATTAGATTATAATTTTGTAGATATTTCATGATTAATATCGTTGAAAATATCATATTTACTATATTAAACAAATAATAAAAAAGAAAAAAAAGACGATAACATTGATTGATTTAAAAAAGCCATATGATCAATGATTAAAGTTATTTTCCCGGCATTTTATTCTATAATATTTTATGAAATTTATGAGAATTAAAGAGAAAAAAAAAGTGAAGATAAAAGAATTCTCATTTAAATTTCATTGACAATTTTTTGTATTTGAACAAAATAGGATAAAACATAAGAGACTTAACATGCATATTGAATTTCATTTCCGGAAAGCAAATAAATATTAAAAATTTAGGGAAAGAAATTAAAAGAAAAAATTCATTCAGAGTTAATTGATATAGATAAAATATGTAAACAGGCAAAAATAATACTTAAATTAATTATTATCATATGAAATCCAATGATTTGTTTATTTTTCTTTTTTAGATGAAATTTTTGTTTGAATTCTTCACAATTAGCAATAGATCAAAGTTTACAGGCCATTTAAAATTTAAAATTTACACTTATTTACTACCGTTAACCTAATTCTTCCGCACATGATAAAGATGAACGATAATTGATGATGAGCCATGCAAACAAACAATCAACTGATATCTATTACGGGAGAAGACGAATGTAAGATAGTTGTTGAAAATGTGATGTGATTCTTCAGTAACGTTCAAAGATAATTTAAAATTCGATCGGAAACTTTTTTGTTCGTCGGTAACAATCTTTTATCATTCATTTATCCGGATGTTCAGTTCATGATATTGTTTAATTAGGTTGAAATAATCAGGTTATCATATCATCTATATGATATGATGACTTAATCCAATTAATCCCAGTTTATCAATATACAACAGAAATTTCTCAGCTTTTATTTCAACATTCTTGAAATATATTTAGCTAAATTTCAATCTCATCCAACTATCCATCATTCAAACATATCGCGATTAGTAATCTGACGTTAAATTATGCATAGAAGATTTTTTTTAGCAAAACTTTTCTTTCAAAAAAAAATTCGAACTAAAATTTAAGGAAAGGAAACATTTAATTCCCAGTAAAATATCATTTAAACAAATGAATGACAAATCCGTTCATCACGAAAACAAATTTTATTGTGAGATATGAGAAAATGAGAATGATTTTGTGATGTTCGATTTGAAACGTCAAACTTCTTCCCAATCATTGCTGATGTTTTCTTTTTTTTAAGTGTTTATTGCAGTTGACAATGACAATAACAAAAACAACAACAACAACGACAACGACAACAACATGATATATCACAAACGTTTCGGATCAATGCTATTACTTCTAACATTGGAGTATAAAAAAAGAAAATGGGAGAAATAGGAAAGGAAGAGAAATGAAAAATGATCCATCATAAAGGCGGTAATTTTTGAATTTCATTCAAGTTTTTTTTTTTTTTAAAAAAGAAAAAAAAGTAAATTTGAATTTAACAAATGGAGAATTATTTTTCACAAAATATCAGTGTATGTTCAGAAAAAAAAAAAAGGAAGAGAAGGTTTATTGTGAAATTATGTCGTTAATTTGGAACAGAAAATGTATGCTTTGCTATCCTTTCCTTCTACACTTTTCCAATATCATTGTTCATATCATCTAGCTAATTTAAGCCATGTAAAAGCAACAAATAACATATTGTTTAACAAATCGCAATTTCAAGTTTCATTAAGTAAATTTACCGATAAAATATGAAGTATTTGGGAAAATTGTAATCATTCTGTTAATTACAGTAAATTCAAAATTAAAATAAACGCTTGGTAGCTAAAAATTTGAACACATTCATTTCATCTCTGCTAATTTACTACAAGAAAAACAAAAGGAGAAAAAGAAAAAGGAAAACTAATTGAACTATTAATAAGTTAATGAGAATGAATTCAAGAATTCCACTGAAAATAGTGAAATTTGTTTGAAAGTAAAGAAAAACGATGGTATAAAAAAATGCGGTTAAACGAAAAATTACGAAATATAATTTAAACGAA